CCACATTCTTCATTTGATAAAACATCCTCAGTTTTTCCATCAAATTTTTCTGTTTTGTATTCCATATTCTCCAATCTCCTTTCAATTCTCTCTATCACAACTAATACTGTAGATTTTGAATTTCAAACATAATCATTTGCAATGTTACAGTTTCTTTTTCCTGCTGCACCATTCTTCCAATTTTGCAGGCACTGCCACTATAGGATTCAAGGCTATTTTAATAAACTTCAAACAGGTTCATTTATTATCTTTCAAGTCAAAATGTTGTCTTCCCTCCAATAGCTAGTGATAGAACTCCCCAAAAGCACCTGTATAAACAACTTGTGCTCTTCCTACTATCACTCTCAGTAAACAAACTGAACCTTGAATCTCAAGTGATCAGAGAAAGAAGAAAAACAATGTATCCAGCCTCTAAGTGGCAGTGTAACTGCCTGTTGTTACAACCTTCTTTATAATCCTTCTTATTATCTTCTTTATATTCCAAGCTTAAGAACGAAAGAAAAAACATTAAATGGAGATCAAAAACAATCAATCCAATCAAGCATTATAAAAAAGAAGGAAATTTTTAATCTATAGGTGTAAGCAAAAGTGAAAAAAAGAAGAGGAAAAAAATAATTAATTCAGTTTAAAAAATAGAGAGCCTTTGCAAAAATTCCATCTATGAAAAAAAATTAGAAACAGGATAACACACTAATTTTATGTAGATTAATTTCAGTGCTTACAGTCTTCTATCTTCAATTTTCATTTAACTTATTGGGCGGGGTAGTCTGTCTTTCTAATAATAAAATTTCCTCACCAATTCGGCACACTTTCTCTTTTCACTTTTTTCCTGTTCCGGAGCTGTCCCAACTTCAGCAGCTTCATTAGCTGCGTTTCTATCGCCAGAAAAAAGGCTATTCCTGGATTTTTCAGGGACTTTGCGATGTCCCTGAGATCAGCAGGAGGTGCCTTTTTCAACCACCGTCTCTGTGGGACGGTTTAGTTCCGAATGGATCATCCAGTGGAAGAAATATTGACTGCTATCTTGGAACACCAAGATCGCACGTTGTGCTATCTTGACGTCAGCCCATTTTCTCCAGGGCTCCCAGACATTTGAAGAACTTCTGCACCAATTATCCTGATAAGATTTGATGATAGGGTAGATGTAAATATTTACATAGTTATTTTGTATTGTGGTTTTTTTTCTCTCTCTCTCTGCAGGGATGATATCTCTTTCTGAAGGAGGGCCGGATGTCAGCCTCTACTTCGCTTGCTGCTTGCTTTCAGCTGCCATGGAAACGGGGAGGGAGGCATGGTATTTGGGATGGGAATAAATAGTGCGGGAGTGATAGTCAAAAAGGGAGTTTTGTTCTCACCATCTTCTGCACATGCTGATGGCCGATGTTTGGACCTGGTCAAGGCCAACCATCCTGCATACCAACCTGATGAGGATTCCCACATGACACCTAAGGGAGTTATAGATTGGGCAATGGGGTGGAGGTTGTTGGAGGGAGGGGGCTGGGCAAATGTTTTATATGTATGATTTCACGCTTTTCTGACTCAGACCTTGCTTTACTTCGCTGCTATCTATTAATAACCAGTAAAAGTACTTTTCATTCCACAAACAATGGAGTTGGGAGATTTCTTTCTTGGTTAATGAAGGAGGCACGCCCGACATCAGCTTTCTATGCATTTATTTTAAACATTAAAATTGGGAAGTACAGGTTGTAATCGACTTACAACTATTAATTCTGTGACCATTCAAAGTTACAGCAGCACTGAAAAAGTGTTTTATGAGCATTTTTCCACTTACAATGGTTACAGCATCCCCATGGTCACATAATCAAAATTCAAATGCTTGGCAACTGGTTCATTTTTATGACAGTTGCATTGTCCCAGATCATGTGATCAGACTTTTATGACCTAACAAGCAAAGTCAATAGGGAAGCCAAATTCACTTAACAACCATGTTATTAACAACTGCAGTGATTCCCTTAACAACTGTGGCAAGAAAGGTCATAAAATGGGGCAAAACTCAGTTAACATCTCTCTTAACAACATACATTTTGGGCTAATTGTAGTCATGTCAAGGACTAACCATATCACTTCCAATATTAAAAAAATTGTGAAGATGTTTATAATCAAAGCAATTCATGAAACATATGTAAAAGAATCTTATAAAATACAGAATGAAATAAAAAGTAAATATTAAAACAATAACAGGAACTCCAAGCAACAATAAAAAGTATAATATCTGTTACAGCAAATAAAAACATCAGCCATACTTTGTTGGGAAAGGCATTCCAAATTTGGGTGGTCAACCAATGTAAAGGCTTGTTCCTGGGTAACTTTCTGTCCCATCCTAGCAAAAGAAATCATCCCAAGCAGGCCTTTGAGGCTAGCCATGGCACAAATGGGAACATTCAGAAAAAGATTCCTTCAAGTCCCACAAATGGAAGAGTTTTATAGATTCAAACTATCCCTTGAGTTGGGACTAGAAACGAACTGGGATTCAGGAAAGATAAGAGCTAATCTGTTCATATCATCCAAGTCTAGACAGCACCCTTATTGCAGTATTTTATAGAAAACTATGGGATTCCCCAGGTAGTCAAGTCAAGCCTCCTCTGAATTCCTGAACAATTAGAACTCAAAGGCAATCATACACTCTTATGATATTAGTTCAAATATTTATCAGAAAGTGAAAATATATAATATAAATAAGTGTTCATTGTTCTCCGTTCTTTAACAATTTCAGATGAAAATTCTGCTTGGTATGAAAGATTAAGTATTTTAAATTTGGCAAAAAGCAATTGAATTTTTAATTTGAAGCAAAATTTTAATGTTTTATTAGAAAAATTGTGATAGCATAAAAAAGCTATAACTGAAATAAATAGCAATAGAATTGAAAATGCTGATATTCACAAATATCTTATATTAATTCCTTTAAGTGAACACAGAATATAATACTAAAGGAGAATTAATAAAAAGATATCTGTCCCATGTAACATTATGCCTAACAGATTTATCTTTTTTTTTCTTCCATAGGTTCGTTCATCTATATTTCAGCTTGCTAGAAAAAACAAATTTCATTTATGCCAACATATTGTGGTTACATTGGTCCTTTTGATGATCATTAACCTGCTGGTTATTTTTATACCTTCCATGAAGGATATTTTTGGAGTTGTAGGTACAGCATGCTAAATATATTTAATTAAGATTTCCTCCCTTTGTGAGACTTAGACTTGTAAATTGTTTACATAACACCAAAATGTTTCTCATTGTTATAGGAACAACATCTGCCAATATGTTGATTTTTATTCTTCCATCTTCACTCTATTTGAAAATCACCCATCAAGATGGTTCAAAACTGATTCAGAGAATTTGGGTAAGTTAGTATACTTCATTAAACAAGATTAAAAGCTGTACTGTGCAAGTGTAACAAAGGTAGAACGTACTTTTTCACCAGAATGAAGGGTCTTAGATCTTTCCAGTATGCAAACGGCTAAATGAACCAGCATTCACGTCAGAAGGCAACAAAGATAAATACTTGTTTGCAAAAGAATGTACCAGTACCTTAAAATGATCTGCATTAAATTGCTTGCACTGCTTATGAATAAGAACAAAGATTTAAAGAAGGGAACCTAATCATATAGGACTCTTAATCACAGAAACTTAGAACAGGTTTCTCATTTGATAGCCTTTGCCCAATACAAGGAAACAGAAACCAAGGATATTGGGAATGCAGGAACAAAACTCAGAGATGCCTGACAAGGCTAAGATTACATATTCTGAAATAAATTCAAAGCCATTTCAGAAATATTTAAACCATCTATTTTAAAAGCAAAATAATTGTTTTAAACTCAAAACAGGACTCCATTTAGAATGCAAGATAAAGCAAATTAGAAACACTTTGCACACCTCTGAATTAAATTGTAAGAGAATTATCCATGAATTGTTGACATAATTAGAGATTGGTTGTGTGCTGGCTTCCTTGCTTTCCCCATGAACATATTTCTTCTTCTATTTAAAGCCCATTCTCAAATGGCTAATCATTATATAATAGAAGTGTGCAGCTTTTCCCAAATTGGGCACCACATACTCCCTTTGAATCCCACACCTAGGAATGTACTTCTAAATAGTTTACTTTTAAATAAAGTAAGAATAATTAATAGGATATTACTCATGCATTTTGATAATTTTCCCCTTCTTCCAATGCAATATTTGTGATAGCAACTTTTCAATATCTTTAAGAACTACACCCTGGATACTCACGTTGGAGCACACTATATATATAAATAAATGTAAATAATATCTCATTTTGGTTCTAGGCTTCCCTCTTTTTGGCATTAGGAATTTTATTTTCCATGGTGAGCATTCCACTTGTCATCTATGATTGGGTGCATTAAGACATGCCACTGAAGGTTAGTGAGATACCAAGAAGAACACTTGCTGTTCAAAAAACCATCGGTCACCTATATTGCCAGTATGTCCTACTCATCAGAAATATCCTTTATGAAACAAACAAACAAGAATTAATCATCACTGCATATTTTCCACAGGAGATAGTTAATTTGTAATTTTTGCATCAGTATTATTACAGAGGTCAAAACAATTTCACAGATCCCATTGGTCATAGGTCTTCCTGTTGCAGTAAATGGTAATGAAATACCTGAAAAATATCTTCTACTGCTTCATACATTGCACAGGAATATTTCTTCTGATTTTCAGCTAAAATCCATTAGCTATTATCCTGATCAAAGTAGATCACATTGGTGCAGTAATGTGGTTAACAATTAGATAGATAACTAGTATTTGGTCACATATAGACTCAATGGAGTCTTTTGATATTAATAAACAAAGACTAATTATTTAAGCTCAGTTATCCTTGTGGGAGATATGTATGCATGTGTATCCATTTTCAAAATAGTTTCCCAGGAAATTGCATCTGATCTCCCTGTCCCTCTACAATATTATTTGAATTAAAATACACCAAAATCAAAAGAAACAGATCCAGAGGTAATGTGTGTGAGATATAAAATTTCTTGGCGCCAGAATTACATTTGAGAATATATATATATATATATATATATATATATATATA